TTATAGCCAACATTATTGCGAACGGGGAGCATTCACTAAACGGTGGTTTGTACATTTTATGCTGAAGGTACCATAACAACTGCTTTAGCAATCTTTTGACTGCTAATGTCATGCTGACTGTGAAATGAGTTCATTCAATCCTCTATGACTGTAGGAATGATATTATCCAGTAAAACGTCCTGTACTGTTTGCTGTCACTTTCAGCAAAATTTACATTTATTATATCATTGAAGAGTGGCATCTGGCAGAAAAATGTATCCTCTACAGGATAATCATAACTGGAGAATACATGAGGGTAAGTGAGGCTTTATGAACTACATTTCCTACTGCAAAATATATGAAAATAGAAACCTTTATACTCAGTGTTGGCATTGATTTAGTTAGAGATGGCCTATTTGAGCATATTTGAGCTGAGATAAGGACTCCTTGCTGCCACAAGGCCAGTTTCCTCTATATATTTATAAATATATATCAAAATTATTATAATACACATTACTAATATACATATTAGTTTACTAATATGGGAGCACATGCTCCCAAAATTTAATTTATAGTTTTTTTTTAATGTTTTTAATGAAAACTTTGGGCTTTGTGAAGACTCATGCACACTCACTGACCAATGCACACAAACACACTGACCCATGCAGACACACACACACTGACCAATACAGACACACATACTGACCCATGCAGACACACATACAAACTGGTCTTGGTGGGCACAAGTGACTGTGCTCCGGGCTGGGCAATGCGGCTGGCACTGGCCCTTAGCTAGAATATAGAATAAAAAAGGGCAGGGTAGTGTAGGGGAGGGTAGGGCTTTTACTTTTTTTTTTTTATTCTTTATTTTATCGTGCTTTGGTTAACAGTACATACTTGTCTAGCCACAATAGTATCTACAAGCTTAGTAGTAACAGTTACGACTGATTTTCATTATGGCATAGCAGGTAGTAGCACATTTTTTGGTTTAGTGAGGAAAAACAGTTTAAAAAAACCAAGTTAGTTAACATAAAGTGCTTGGTCATGCAGTAGGTAGCTTCTAAAGTAGTGATAACATATATATCGACTTGCATGCATGCTTCGTTTCAAGTGTTGGTGAAGGAATGTTAAAGGCATCATACGTTGTACACAAGATAAACTATTTAACAGTAAGAGTATATTTATAAATATGCCCTATTTTATAGTCTAGGCCTATATATCGTGCATTTAGAGTGGGCTAATTTTTGTAGGCATCAAACAGCATTTAATGTGTAAAGGCTACTGATTAATAGCAAAATGTTCATGGTGTGTGGCTTTAATAGCCTGCGTGTGAAAGTTGGGCCTGTGCGTATGAATGGAGAGTCTGCAGCAGGCCTGGTGTTCCTCCATGACAAGAGTATGTGTGGTGACAGATTTTTGGTACTAATGGCTTACATGAGATGTCACTGAGGGTTTAATATGCTCGTGAGTTGAGCGTGAAAATGGTAAAGGTACCTGAGCTATGTCGTCCACCAGAAATTTATATTATAGTAATCCTTTTAGGTTATGTATGTTGAGGTTACATAGCTAGTGTATAAATGTAAAATAGAACCAACTGACTGGTGTCTTTAACCATGGCTGGCTGTTCAGGTATGTGAGCTTAAGCCCACAGAAATAACAAAAAACAAAAAACTAATTTTTTTTTTTTTTTTAAATTAAAATTACAAAAATAAATAAAATGAGCCGATGTAGTTCAGCTATGTTAGTCCGATTGTCCAGCTTGGCGTCTCCCTATGGTGCACAGGTTCCGTTTTCTGCATAGTTGTGTGGGAAATTGAAGTTATAGGTATACCTGGACTCTCGGGCTGTCGGGGGTGTGTATAGTGTTGTACAGTTCTTTATGCAAGTCCTGTAAGATGTGTCCTGTTTCAAGTGGTGGCCTTGGCATATGGGTCCGTGGTTGTTCTCCTGGGTACAAACTCCGGGGCATCGGCTGAGTATCTTCCTTGTGGGCGCGTTTGGCCTGCTGGTCGCGTCATCGGAGCCAGTGAGTCTGTGGGGAGGCCAAGTAGACTCAGTGTCCCAGTGGCCTCTTGCATGTCGTGAAGAATATGTTTGTTACCTCCTGCTTCAATGGTGAGGGTGTGACCTGGTCCCCAGCGGTACCGGATTTGATGGAGGTGCAGGAGAGCTGTGAATGGGCTCATGTGTCTCCTCCACGCCAGCGTCCCTCCTGACAGATCCACGTAAAATAAGAGGGTCATTCCCTCGAAGGGAATGTGGGCTGTCCTCTAACGGTTTCCAGGACTGCTTTTTTGTCCCTGAGTGACTGAAATTGGAGAATTAGGTCCCCTGTTGCCGTTGGTGGGGCCTTTGCTGGTCGTGGTATGCGGAATATTCCTTCCAGGGTGGTTGCTGTAATGGACCATTTTGCACACAAGGGGTAAAAACCGTTTAGGCGATCGTCCCCTTTTCAGAGATGCAGGCACAGCTACTGTAGAACACCAAACTCACGAACCGCCAATAAGGGAATGCTCCAAACTCCCGAACGGCATACAATATAGCACTCCAAACACACGAACTGGAACCATACGAATTGCTGCTAGCAGACGAATAGGAAAAGCATCCAAGCGGCTTACACTCCTAGCAATCAGTCTCTATCAGCATTCAGTAAATCCCCCAAAGACGAGACAAGGCTCCGTGTTGAGGGTCAAGCAGTGGTCTGTTTAATGAGGGCTACCTGCCCAGTATTTATGCAGGTCTCCCACCTGGTGGACACTCCCCTAGGGGACCAAATGGGAGACTATGACAAAAGACAGACAATCAGCCAAACAGGACACACAGTCACATTATATTCCCACAATGCATCCTGGCTTCCTCCCCTCTGCCCTGGAGATAATTGAGAAGTAATTCAATTATCTCCCAGGACAAAGGCAAATCGCCATTATGCACGTGGGGATACTAAAATAAGAATTACTATTAAAATACACAGTATGACACAAGTTACAATAAAACTATACATTTGACATGTCCCCAGATAGCTCAGGTCTGAGCGCACATTATTAAGCGAATGGCGCTCAGACCACACGAATACAGTGTAATCGCCAGGGAGCCAAAGTCTTTACACAGTCAGTTCTCATGCGAATGGGCTCCATGGGATTCCTATCTGGGGTATAACATAGTCAAGTAAATCTACGAACACCGGGACGTTCGTGCACACCTGCCGAACAAGAAGGGAGGTTGGCGGCTTCAGTTGTGTTTGCGCCAAACTGTGTCCGTTTTTAGTTCCATGAGTTAGGTGTCGAACAGCGCTGTGCGTTCACGTGTTTAAAATGGCCGCGACCTCGTGTTCGTGATACAAATGGGGGCCACCCAGTATTCATCAATTAAGCTGCGGTTAACCACAGCTTCTGGGAGGCTAATTGCCGGCACACTCCAGCTCCCAGGTGGTCTAGTCATTCGTGGGTTGTTCGGTAGATTGAATCTACCGAACACTGGGCAGAAAAGCACGAATAAGTCTTTTCTGCAGGGAAAAATATGTCTTTTAACATGGGGCCATAGTCCAAAGGCAGCAGGTGAGCAACCAGGCTTCTCCAATGCAATGTGGCGAGATTGGTCTCGTCACAGTTGCTTTCACTGCTTTTGGGTTAGTAGCTCTGTAAGTAATCTCCTGATGAAATGTGGGAGTTCGGTCTCTGGGACGGTGTCGGCCACGCCCCTTAGCTTTATATTATTCAGACGATTTTTATCTTCATGAGCGGCAAGTTGTTGTTCATGTTGCCGAGCTTTTGTTGCAGGTCTCGAATCGCGTCTTGGAGGACTGCAATCTGGTTGGTGTGGCCGGTGGAGGAGGCTTCCACTGCTCCCAGCCTGTTGGTGATGCCTTTAATATCATCTCTGAGCAGGGCCACATCATCCGCAATTTTCTTATGATGGTCGGCCATAAGTGCTCCGATCGCCTCCATGGTCACAGGGGTATGAGGCTTTGTGAATGGCTGCGCCCGTGTTGGTGACTGGGTCAGCATGGACCCCATGGGGTCTCCCCTGTCTTCGTCCGACGATCCGTCAGTGAAATCCGAGAAGCCGCCGTGCAGGGACGCCATCTTGGCTCCTGCAGCATCGTGCGCCTGCCTCCATAATTCCCCGATATCCATGCCCTGGTGGGACTTGTCGGGTCTCGCTTTTTTATTTTTTCTGCCCATCGTGCCTGTGGAGTCTTGGGGTCGTTCCGGGAGAAGTTTGGCATGGGTTTAAGTGCTGGTAATAATGTTTATTTTGCTTGTCGGTCCGGAGCTCCACGGCCATGTGACCGTTCGCTTCAGATGCTAGGCTCCACCCCCAGGGCTTTTACTTTTGCTTGCATTTCCTTCTTTTTGTGCCCCAATCCCTCATGCTGCCAACTCTCCTCTGATTCATACAGCGGCTCAGCAGCCTGCCAGGAAGGTGAATAAGAAGTCTGTAGTCTCCTTCTTTCACAGGCTGGCTAATGCATGCACTACTACAACAGGCGGCCCTCTCAACATAAGAATGGGCTCTCCCCACCAACCATGCTGCCCCTCTCATGCTTACCACCCTGAGACCACAGCCATAATTAATTTATTTTATTGGATTTAGCTTGATAGAACACCCTGAAGTTCTAGATGGAACTGATATTTTACTACACAATAGACTGGGTAATATGATGAATTTGATAAAGTCAGTTGTTTCAAGCCAATGTGGAGCACTTTAAAACCATGGAAAACCCATCCCCTTGTGTATTAATTAATAGATCTTTATATAGAGTTTCTGAATGGAATTAATAAATGACACCCTTTTCAACATAAAGCAAAACTGATATTTTACTTTAATTCGGCATATATTGACATGGTACCTTCTAGAAAAGAGTTCAACCCAAACTTAATAGCACATTCAAGATTCTTCACATTTTATATATTTATTTTCTAATTCTGAAAGCCATTATTTGAGCAATGCCTTCATAAAAAACGAAAACCCTTCATAGTTTTTTCTGTCCATATTATTACAACATACTCCACATTACTTACGGGTTCACAGTCCTCTTCTCTAACATATACACAGGTCTCTTTAGTTACAACAGTGGAAAACTGACCATCTGCCACCTCACACTTGTATGATGTACAGGCATCACCAGTTGGGTACCAGGTTTCTCCAACCTAATCAAATGCAAAAAGACAATTAAATCATAGCTGAAAAAGGTAAATGATAGAACAAATTCATACACGTTTATAATAAGAAACTTCATTAGTAATTCATCTCCCTATTCAATAAAATACTCAGTTTATCTACCCTTCAGCACTGATTTCTCATTTCCGACTAATAGGTAATATAACATGTAAAAAGTATTTACACTTTATGTATTTGTTGAGGGTTTGATTGTATTCAACATACAGGGGAACTACCATAATCAAAAGATTCCCAAGTAATCATCACAATATGGTAACAAATTTGTTAATTAACTCAGAGAATTGTATAAACATATATTTCTAAACATCTCAACTGCTGCATATACCACTTCAACTTCTAACCTGCATTGAGACAGGTGCTATTTTCACCTGCACTACTTCTGCCAGAGAGTGTGAAACACCTAGACAGGAGTTTATGTTAGCTCTCTTACAAACCCCTGAGAGCATCAGCTAATGAGCTAAGCCCTACACCACCGGCTTAGCTCAGAGCAGAGAGCTCCAAAGAAGACACCAGGAAAGAAGGCAAACATTAAAAAATGGGTCACTGCTTACAGTGGGGGAGTGCCATGGGAATTCAAACACCTTAAGCACTACAACTCCGTGTAGCAGTTATGGTGCTTAAAGTGTTTCTTTTATACACTAAAGTAAGCATAACAAAAAATTAATATATAGGCACAAACAAATGATTTTAATAACACTCAATAGTGGGACACATTGACCTAGGCTTCAGGTTCTTGAATTGTTCCTGTAATTTATTGTTTTTTCATCTATGTCCCCCCTTGGCTGTATGTGATGCCAGGTGGCAAACATTTTGTATTTATGTCTGCAAAATGCAGATGAATTTACTTTAGAAATGTATCTCATATCATTAGGTCAAACTTCATGCAATACATTTCCATTGTTTAATAATTGTGTAAATTCTATACTTTGAATGGGAATCTATAAATTGCACTGTATTTGTTTTTGCCTGACACTGAAATATTCTGAAAGTGAAATCAAAATCATTGCATTTACCCCAAATAAATAGATACATATCTAAATGACGTATCTATTGTATATCTTTCACTACATTGCTAATGTAAAATGTATTCATAATAATAATGTATCAGGTTATACTTTACAATATAATGGTGCCAGAAAGTTACCTGGTGACAATGTTGTGTACCTTGGTCAAATCTATTCCATTGATGATAATGGTTTTATTAGGAAATACTTTAAATTCATATAAGTAGAAAAGAGTTTCCCAAAGAACATATTTGGCCTGAACATTTCCCCAAGGTTCCTTTATTGGCCCCCTACTATTCACATTATTTATAAATGATCTGCCTAATGTCTGCAAATCCTCAAATGTACACATGTACGCAGACAACACCGTAATCTATGCAAGTAAATCCAATCTACCACATCTTGAGGCTGTTGTCCAAGACCAGTTCACAGAGGTAGAAAAGTCGATCACAAAAAGCAAACTCTTCCTAAACATTTACAAAACTGTCACAATGATCTTTGGAACTGTACCTAAATTACACAAATTACACAATTCCCACCTAACCATCAAAACAAAATTAAATAGCACACTGACCACAGTCTACTCTTTCAAATACTTAGGTATGTTGTTATACCTCAATCTATCTTTTGGCCTCCACATAGAAAAACTTGCATCTAAACTTTATCCCAAACTAGGTGCCCTGTAGAGAAACAAATCCAGACTGAGCCTTGCAGTAAAGGAAAATATTGTACAGCAAATGCTGATACAAATCATTGATTATGGGGCTGTAGTATATGCACCTGCACTGCAAACCCACCTTAATAAACTTAATACATTGTATAACTCGTTCTGCTGCTTTGTGTTACAATGTAATAACATGACTCACCATTCTGAAATGCTAAAAGAACTAAACTGGCTGTCGCTGGAATCCAGACGCACCCTTCATCTTTCCAGCCTTCTGTTTAAGAGCATTTCTGGGAAGCTCCCACCCTACCTGAGCAGAATGCTCTCCCCGGCTGTCCCCACCTACTATAGCCTCTGATCCAGTACCAGCACTTTATTTAGTCTACCACCTCAATACAAAAAGAAAGCAGCTTGATCCTCCTTTTCCTACAGAGCACCGCAATTATGGAACTACCTCTCACACACTTTCATATCTTCCCCAGGTCTAAAATCCTTTAAGAGATCGATCTCTACATATCTCAAAACAGAATGCACCTGTCATGGTTAATTATATATTTCCTACCAGTTCTATGTTTAATTTTGTATATATTATGTATTTATATTTTTTTATTTTTTTATTGTACCATATTGTATCAATGCAATGTTTTGTGGACCCAGGACATACTTGAAAACGAGAGAAATCTCAATGTATCTTTCCTGGTAAAACATTTAAAAAAAAAAAAAAATAATAATAATTGTAGGTAGCTCTAGACAGGTACTTATGAAAAATATAAGCTTGAAAAAGATCTGTAGTTGAAGTTATATTTAAAACTACTTTGCTGATGGTCCGTTTATTTTAGGAGTAGGACTGTACATAAGAGGCAGTCCCTAAAGATAAACATAAGAGTTAGTGGCATTTGCATTTAGCAATGTGTATATGTCACATGGCCATGTGGACAATGTGTTTCAACATTAGAATACAATATTAAGAGTGCAAATTATGAAGTATGGTACCATTATTAAGTGAAAGCTTTCACTTGGTGTAGTCAACAGTGATTCATCAGCTGTTGTAGGCATTGCAATTGCACATGATGTCTGGACACATTTTCCACAGCACTGACCAGGAGAAACTTCATACTCTTGGCCCTGGAGTTGGAAGAGAAATACATACATATATATGGTACAATTTCCCGAACAATAGATCTTATAACAAAGAATGATGGGGAGCTAAGATGGAAGCCCACAGTTGCAAGTGTAATTTCATACTTTATAAACACCCATCAATTAGCAAAATGTTAAAATCCTGGGCTGTGATATTATCCCTATAAATGAAATAATTTCATTGACATATTCAGATCAATACAAATCTACAATTTTCAAGCTGGGATATTTGATTTATAAATGGAATCGCTCATGATCCATGTTTTAGTTAGTAGTTGATATTTTTATTTGTTAATTGTTTATTTAGTTCATATTTATTTATATGAAGTGCATAGAGAATACAGAAAGAATGTTGGTTGTATTGGTTTGCTCAAATAAACAGCAATTACAATGATTGCTAAATAGAAATTAATAATTAACAAAATTAGATATACAGCTGTGCTCAAAAGTTTGCATTCCCTGGCAGAAATTGTGACATTTTGGTATTGATTTTGAAAATATGACTGATCACACACAAAAAATATATATTTTATTGAAGGATAGTGATCATGTGAAGCCATTTATTATGACATAGTTGTTTGGTTTCTTTGTAAATCATAATGATAACAGCAATTACCCAAATGGCCCTGATCAAAACTTCACATACCCTTGAATGTTCCGCCTTGTTGCAGAGGTGAGACACACATGTTAAAATGACATCTGAAGGTTAATTTCCCATACCTGTGGCTTTTTAAATTGCAATTAGTTTCAGTTTGTTAGCTCTCACATGGCTGCACTGAGCAGGCTAGATACTTAGCCACGGAGAGCAGAAAAGAACTGCCAACAGAACTGTGAAACAAGGTAATGAAACTTTATAAAGATGGAAAAGGAAATAAAAATATATCCAAAGCCTTGAAAATGACAGTCAGTACTGTTCAATCACTTATTAACCCCTTAAGGACCAAGCTTCTGGAATAAAAAGGAATCATGACATGCATGTCATGTGTCCTTAAGGGGTTAAGCAGTGGAAAATTCGGGGATGTTTTGATATCAAGCTAAAGTCAAGGTAGACAAAGAAAGATTTCAGCCACAACTGCCAGAAGAATTGTTCGAGATACAAAGAAAAACCCACAGGTAACCTCAGGAGAAATGCAAACTGTTCTAGAAAAAAGATGGTGGGGGTTGTTTCAAGGAGCACAATACTACAATACTTGAACAAAAATGAGCTGCATGGTTGAGTTGCCAGATAGAAGTCTTTACTTTACTTAATGCCACAAAAAAGGTCTGGTTACAATATGCTCGACGACACCTTGACTCGCCTCACAACTTCTGGCACACTGTAGTTTGTATTGACAAGACCAAAATAGAGCATTATGTGCATGGGACTTTCCAGCATGACAATGACCCTAAGTACAAGGCCAAACTGACCCTCCAGTGGTTACAGCAGAAAAAGGTGACAGTTCTGGTGTTGCCATCACAGTCTCCTGACCTTAAGATCATCAAGCCATTCTGGGGAGATCTCAACCGTGCAGTTCATGCAAGACGACCAGAGACTTTGCATGACCTGGAGGCATTTTGCCAAGACAAATGGACAGCTATACCACCTGCAAGAATTAGGGGCCTCATAGACAACTATTACAAAAGACTGCACACTGTCATTGATACTAAAGGGGGCAATACACTATTAAGAACTTGGGGTATGTATAATTTTGAACAGGGGTGATTTCATTTTTTTTCTTTGTTGCCATGTTTTGTTTTATGATTGTGCCATTCTGTTATAACCTACAGTTGAATATGATTACCATAAGAAAAAAAAAGAAATGTGTTTTGCCTGCTCAGTCATGTTTTCTTTAAAAATGGCACATATATTACATATTCTACAAGGGTATGCAAACTTTTAAACACAACTGTATAAAAGGTAATATATTAATATATTAATATATAGGAACAATAATTGCATGTGAGTTAATGTCTTAGACATTGAAGTTGGAAATACATTGTCTAGAAAACACAGTTTCTGTGGTGTATACCTTTCATGATATGTCGATGGTTTATGAAGCTTCTGAATAAAGATATTTTGATAATTGCTAATTTTGAAGTGGATTATGTTCTGTAATGATCGCCTATGTTATCTTATATAATGCTTCAGTGGACTGACTATCCTTGGTGTAATCTCTACAATTTATTTGTAATCTCTACAATTTATTTATACTCATGCTATAATGGCGCTACTGCAGGCATTTGGATTATAGCACACTTCTGTTCATGAAATGTAACTTTTCCTTTCTGTCTCCCTAAATATATAAATATATACGCACACAACAACATGAGAAGGAGAGCAAGTGAATGCCACCAGGGTATTTGTGTATATGAAAACAGTCTAAACTGCTATGCTATATCTCAGAACAGGTTTCACATTAGTCTTAAACAGACAACATGAGTTCTCCAATTAGCCTAAAAATATTCAACCAATCTAGCTAATGAATTTGACAGAGTACCATCTGCAAATTGCTGGTGTAAATCTTGATACCTTATTAAAATCTGGAAGAAAATTGAACACAAAACTTTTTTTTCTGTAAACACTTATTTGAAAAAAATATTGATATGTAGGTTGTACAAATCTATATTGTTATGTTTTGAAAAAACTTACTAATAAAAGTTATTTAAAAAATAAAGAACAAAAAGGGTTAAACTTAATGAAAAGGATTTTAAAAATTGGTAGCATCAAAAATTGGTACCAAAAATGTGAAAACAAAAAACCTAAACTTTAAACACAATATTAAACTTCTGTGCAGCTTAATTCATAGTCCACTGTGGCTCCAATAGTGGCATAGCAATTGTAACACAGAACAGAACAATTGAACAAGCGCAGATAAGAATTTGCAATGCACATCAATGTTTTGATTTTTAGAAATCACATCACTGAGTTGCATTACAAATTATTTTCTCTGCTGGTCCTATTTGTCTGGTTTAGACTGGAAAAAGGTTGGGAGGAAGAGTTTTGGGATGTGAGAGTGATGGAACCTGATATATATATATGAGATAAATATAAGATGGCTTTTCCAACCATTGGGGATCCCATAAAATGTAATGGGGACCCACATTTTATTTCTGACCCAGGGATTAAGAACCACAGGATACCATTGTATATTTGAATTTGCATAACAGACCATGTTGTATCTGCATAACATGCCATTATTGTATATTTAAGGAATGTCTGATAACGGTGTAATTATACTAAAGGTGAAACACAATACATAATGTTAACTGAAAAAGAAGAAAGCTGCATTTAATGTGGAATGGGGAGGAGATCAGATTGGCAGCAATGAATACTGTAAATAATTTAACTTACTGGTGGACATAATGTACTGCATATAATATTGGAACAATATGCAATATTAAAGTCAGAATCCGGATCTTTCAATGAAGAGCAAAAACATTCCTCACAGCTACCTGGAACGTTGGCTATTTGAGTGTTGGGCTGTTGAGGAAAGAAAAAAATATTAGTCAATTTAATAATATTTGGTAGACCATTATTGACTGTTTGTATCATAATAGTCAGAAAGTCTGTTTCATAGTACACAACGTACAATTTAGGTTTATGGGTCGGGTTACGCAAATTAACTCCTCAATGAACACAGGGCTATTTGCTGAATTGTTAATAATCTGGAATAACTATATTATTTCAAATGTTAGGGTAAAAACCTTTGCCATGTCATGTTTTGCACAATTCAGTTTACTTTGCAATCCTGACTGTTAACACAAGGTGAATATATATGACTGACCATTATCATCAGTATATAACAATCATTTGGACTTTTAAAATGTATTATGATTTAGCAGTGAAAATGTTATGCTAATGGCTACTGCTTAGGGGACACTGTAGTCATTTTAACAACTTCCTATTAATGAACTTGTCATAGTGCTTGCAATTCTATCCTCCCCACCTACCCCCCAAAGCCCTCATGTCACCTAATTAGAGGACATAGTTCCCGGTTCTCATACCGTAACAGGAATGCCTACAGGATTATGTCACTAAAGAAGGAGGTTGTGGCAGCACTGAGGGAGACTTGGCACTGGAGTAATTTGTTTTAAAAGTAATAATTTTGTTTTTATTTTAAGATCAAGGGAGTGGAGGGGGTAATTATACAGGGGCACCAGGGCTGTATTCTTAACACTACAGTGTTCCTTTAATGAAGCCATAAGGTCATTTTGGCATAGTCTGACTTGTTGGCTCTGACATCTAGTGCTCCTAGGGGTCAATTTATTGTTTTTTAGTTGCTCATAAATGCAAGTCCTCTGAAGTTAATTCTAATATGTGCTTTTTGGTGCCCATTAGAGCCATCTCTGGAAGAAAAGTCTTGTTCAATTTCTGAAAGAAAAAAATGGTTTGATGAACTCTGGTGCACTTAGATTCTCACCCAAGGCATTTCCATTTTGGCTTTATTTTTTTTTACAAATAAATCATGAGACTGTGTGATATGTCATGTGTTGTTGTTCATCTGAGGTTGTATTTACCTAATGTTAAGGCCTGCTAAGAATCAGATTAGTGTTATTATATCCTCATATGAAAAAAACATAGAATTCAAAGTGGGTGTACTTTCTTTTTCCCATGAATGTAGACAGGCCCGCCACCAGAAATTTTGGGGCCCCTAACTCAGCTCAGGGTCTGGGCCCTGCCTCCAAATACAGCCCACAGGGTCCGCCACCAAATACCGCCAACAGGAATACACACACAGACACAAACACACACACTGATACAAAAGGACACAGATACATACTAACAAACATACATACTGAAACAGACATACACGCATACACACATATACAGACACACAGGCATACATAGTGACAGACAGACACATACTAACATACATACAGACACACATGCATGAGGACATAAAGACACATACAGACACCGACATACATACACAAATACATACATACACACATACAGAGATTCTGACAGACATACAGACACTGACATCCATACAAACATACATTCATAATGGCATACAGACATACATACATACATACATACATTCAGACTGACATACATGCATATATACAGACATACTGACATACATGCATACAGACCTCCATACACACATACACACAGTCATACGTTCATAATGATATACAGACATACATTCATACTGACATACAGACATACATATATACATACATAATGACATACAGACATACATATATACATACATAATGACATACATTGATACTGGCATACATACATTCATATATACATACATATAGACATACATGCATACATATATACATACAGACAGACATACATAATGATATACAGACATACATTGATACTGACAGACATACATACACACATACATACAGACATATATACATACATACTGACAGACATATATACATACATACTGACAGACATACATACATACATATACATACATACAGACATAGACATACATGCAGACATACATACAGACAGACATATAGACATGCATGCATCCATACTAACAGACATACATACATACATATACATACATACAGACATAGACATACATGCAGACATACATACAGACAGACATACATAGACATACATAGACATGCATAGACATACATATATACAGACATACATGCATGCATACATACAGACATACATGCATGGACATACATACAGACATACATACATATACATACATACATACATACAGACATAGACATACATACAGACAGACATACATACATACAGATACAGACAGACATGCATACATACAGACAGACATACATACAGACAGACATGCATACATACAGACATACATACAGATACAAACATGCATACATACAGACAGATATACATACAGACAGACATGCATGCATACATACAGACATACAGACAGACATGCATACATACATACATACAGACAGACATGCATACATACAGACATACATACACACACACACACAGCTCATTTTCCAGCCTCCTGTCTCTTGCCTTTTTCTTTGCAGGAGGGTGGCTGGGGGCCTGGGGCTGATGGGAGTAGTCGGCATAGCTCTCCATCAATGCCATGCGTGAGCACGCTCCTCCCGCGCGGAGTGAGCAGGGAGGAAGTCCCAGCAGCACTGGCTATGGCTACTTTTTTTTTTTTTTTTAAGAGGCCCGGTCGCGCTATACCATGGCCACAGCACTGACCGGGCCCCTGAAGATATAGGGCCCACCAGGTGGCCCTAAGTGCATTGGACACCCGATAGGCCCCATCAGCGTGCGGGCACCGGTGCCACTTCACCGGCGGCAGTTCCGCCGCTACACATGGAGCCCAGGCGGCCGGGGCCGGCATTGTCACCTCCTGATGGCGGCCCTGAATGTAGATACTAGATAGATAGATCAATAGATAGATAGATAAATAGATAGATAGATCGACAGATATTTATTTTTTACAGCTAATCTGATATCATATGAATAAAATAGATCGGAGGTGGGGGTTCCAGAGAAAGGGGCTGGAGTCAAATTCAATGGCTGGAGTTTAGCGCTTCACTATAATACAATTTTATAAGCTACCACTAGTGAAACATCTTCCTTGTTCACAACAACTAAAGCATCAAAAAAGAAATGCTAAAAAAAAATTAAGAAAAATCCAAAAATAATTGATGCCAAATATAAAATTAGTGTAGAACACATTTTGGCCTCTTTTTAGATTAACTTGGTCTCTTTTAATATTGAATCAACATTTATAGCAATTATTTCTTCTGTTTAGGTTTTCTGATAGTAAAAATGATGCATACATATTTGGTGACTGATTCAATATCCACGTCAGTTAACTTACCTGATACTCATTACCATACTTCACACAGACATCTTTTGGGACTGTAATATTAATAAAATAAGATAAATACATTACAATACAGTCCCCAGTATTAAAAAACATTTCAACTTGCCTTTCTCCTGGTCTAAAATACATATCTCCACAAATATTTTGTTACAAATTAACCCCTTCACTACCAAGCATTTTGCAAAAATACACACTAATGTATGCACACACTGCAATTACAACAACACAGAGATATATACAGTTGCAAGAAAAAGCATGTGAACCCTTTGGAATGATATGGATTTCTGCACAAATTGGTCATAAAATGTGATCTGATCATCATCTAAGTCACAACAATAGACAATCACAGTCTGCTTAAACTAATAACACACAAAGAATGAAATGTTGCCATGTTTTTATTGAACAAACCATGTAAGCATTCACAGTGCAGGTGGAAAAATCCATATCATTCCAAAGGGTTCACATACTTTTTCTTGCAACTGTATATAGAGACTCACACATACACCATAATACACTGCCATATACATATACACACATTTACCCTGGTGGCATAAGGGTGACAGCACACTAACTGCTGTCAATCACAGACATTTCTACCAGCCATCCTCTATTACCTTCTTCTCTGGGAGTGTAACTAGTAACTCTCCCTGTAGCCCCGTCAGCCACCCTCCATTTGTCTTGCTATTTGGGAGGGATGCTGACCTTTATTCTTTCCTTATCAGTCACACTCCGTTTTTCATGGTCTCTAGGTGGGAGGGAGGGTGGCTTATTTGTCTGAAGGTCCCCCTGCTTGATTTATAAGGAGCACAAAGTCTATTATATTATATCATATCACATCCCTCTCTGTGCTCTGTGTGAATTCAGTCAGGCAGACAGTGGAGAAGGAACTGCTGGGCTATTTCCACACTCAACCTTCCTGGACAACAGCAGATCAGAAATGGAGGTCAGGATGCTGATCAGTCCTCCCTCACCTCTCACCTCAGAATGGTAGAGCTGTGCTGTGAGTACTAAACACAGATAGTCTCTCCTTTAAATTGTCTGAAGTTTGCAGCATAGTGGTTGTTAGTGCCACTGTGCTGTGAATTTCAGGATTTACAATAGGCATAATTTTCAAATGAAATTTGTTTGCAATAAATTAATTTAATTAGTAATTATGCAAATTGTGTACATGACTGTGGGGTATGCACGCATACTCTGGCAACCGTGTTTACAAAAGTGCCAAGGCGAAGGGATTAAAGTAATCCAGAATATTAGAACACAACTCTCCTCTATAATATCTTCAGCAATCAGGTGTAAAAATCTGTTTCTTAATTATTTTAAAATAGCCACTCATAATAAGATATTGCATAAACCAAATCAGTCAATAAGGAAGCAATGATTAAACTAATTTCACATTTAAAAACATTTGCAAACTTACCACAGGTAACATTGGGGCAACATTCATGTGCTGATAAAACTGCCTCATAACCCAGAGAACATGTTATATTTTGAACTGGGCACAAATTTGGGTTGCAGCCTATACAAAACAAAGAAAGCATGATAATGATGTTCCACTTCCATTGATAAGTACACCAATTTCATAACTTTTCCAGTAATTAAAAATAGATCATTGAGTTTCCTGTTTACCACGCCACAGTATTAAAGAAACACTCTAGTTGCT